GTGAAGCACAAGAACATTAGGAAAATGTTGAAATTTAATGAACATATCTTTTACAAAAACATTTCATGAAACACATTAGATTTCCTGAGACAAATGTGTAATTTACTTTGATCATTCACATATATCCATTGCAACTAATCCCACTGATTGTACAAGGGCACAAATCTTTAACAAGTAATTGGTATTGAAAAATATCGGAATGCACTTTTAAGATTAAACGAGATTTATTAAGTAATAGGTGTTGAAAAATATAGTAATGCATTTTAAGATGACACAAGATTTATAAAGAAAGGAATTTTTACACCATTTTCACATGTGCATATAAAATCTAAATTTAATCCCTGCTTACACTTTACATAATAAGGAGAAAACAGTGTGCCCCCGAGCGGATAATCCATGAATTGCATCATATTAAAAACATTCATTCCGTGTCTTTTATGCATTTTTGAATTAAATGTATTTTAAATTATCCTGCGGGCCTGCCCAAACCTCCTCGTGGGCCGGTTCTGGCGCGCGGGCCGTATGTTTGACACTCATGTCTTAGACTCACAATAATGCTATCATTATAGTGGTGCTTGGATAATCTTTTTTAGGTGGCACTTTGTTGCGTTGACGGAAATGTTGAAATGTAAATTTTATTCTACACATTTTTACAGTATTAGAAAACATTAAGAATGTTTGTGTCATGTTTTTCTTCCTACACAAACCATATTAAAACAAAAAATATGTTTCCCTCCCCCATCTTTTTTCATTTTCATACATTTTTGAAAAAGCTTCGGGGAAGAGCCACATGTGGCTCTGGAGGCACGGGTTGCCGACCCCTGTGTTAGGTTGTCGGTACCTCAATTGCTTCAAGACACGATTACTGTAATCAACACTGAGTTCCATTCAATTGACCAAATTTTTAACGATCAAATCAATCATTATACCATCCATAGTTTACCTTGAATTATAATAACATGGGCCATAAATCCAGGTCTCAATATATTCATGACATATGAAGCTTGGATTGTACTTAAAAGAGGACCATAGTTATCTATATAGATAGAAATATAACATTCAAATGACTTAACCAAGATCATCTTCACTTTTGATCCTTGGAGTATTTTGACACAGACATGTTATTAGATCATCGGCGAATCGTTTCAAGTTGTGAAAAAAAAAAATGCTCGTAAAATGTGTCCTTAAATCACTGTATAGCATGACGTGACGCTGGCGTTGAAAATGTTTGTTAAAAAAAAAATAAATAAAAAAAAAGGGAACATGATGAAACACAGAGTAACCGGCGCGCTTTGTGTGTTATTTTCTTACTACAAGAAACATTTTGCTCTCTGAGGGTTTGCGGTGTACACATGTGGCACCGCTGCATACCGAATGGCATAAGAGCGCAGCATCGTTTGCACTCGGTTTGATTGCTTCTTTTACTCGCGCCTCAGCTGTGGATTCACATGAAGTATTCTAAGGGGAGAAAATAGTAATTTCAAAGCCAGCAATCAGGTTTCATCTGCTGACATTCACAAGTTTATCAAAAGCATCTCTCATCTGAATCCTCCATCTGTGTTCACAGCACAGCCATGGCTCCTCAGAGGGAGCTTTGCCCTGTTGGGACAAGAAATTAAATCTGCTGCAGCAATAGGAGGATGAAAAAGGAGGGAGGGGAAGGAGGAGAGGATGCCGGCCCGGCTGCCGGGTGGCAAAGCAGCCGCTCTGCTAATGGAGCCCACTCCCACTTGCACAGCCCGCCAGGCCATTCGAGCTCTGCCCATGTGAGCCCAGAGCGATCAGTGTCACACTGAGTGTGTGTGTGTGTGTGTGTGTGTGTGTGTGTGTGTGCGTGTGTGCGTGTGTGTGTGTGTGTGTGTGTGTGTGTGTGTGTGTGTGTGTGCATGCATGCGTGTGTCTGAAATAAAACATGGCGGCTTGGATCTGAATGTGGCTGAGAGGAAGCGAATGCGATGGAGTTTTTGCACCATTACAGTTACAGTGGAAGTGCAGGACCCACACAAGACATGACAAAGTGCGGTCCTCATAGACAAAACGAGATGCATGTGCCTGTGCCTGTGCGTGTGCGAACATACCAATTTTGGAGCCAACCCTTTTCTATAGGACTTTCTCTTATTAGGGCCATGAGTGAGGTAGAATCTATCCCAGCTGACTTGAGATAAATTATACACTTACACTCGAAAAACAGTTCTGGATGAAATAAATAAATAAATAAATAAAGGACCGACCGCTACTTGGGTCAATTTGACCCAATTTTTGGGGGGCTGTTTTTGACAAAAATGAAAAAAAATATATATGATTGTTTGGGTTTCCAAAATAGGGTCAAATCAATCCGAATAGCACTTGGTGCCTTTTTTTTAACCCAGTATTGTTTTAGAGTGCCTCGTTGCCAACCAATCGCTGGGTACTTGGATAAACAACCATTTATAGTCACCACTGAGCTTCAACAATTCAGTTATCTCAAAACTGTTGGGTAAAAAGTAAAATTGGACAGAGTAATTAACACAGTGCTGGGTCCAAAAGGGTTGGGTTACGTCTACCCAGTGCATGGTTGAGGATTTGACCCAGCACGTTGGGTCAATATTTGATCCAGCAAGGGGTAAAAATGAGTTAAATCTACCAAGAAATATGTTGCCAGGTTATCGTTTTAGTGGTGGTTAAAAATTACACTCATTTTACCAACATTTCCTTAAAAAAGAAGCAATTTTTACACTGGATAAGTTTCCTTGACACAATCCACTCATTTTCCTTGGGTGGGTCGTCCACCCAGAGCAGAATTTCAGCTCAATCCCTGTGTCTAAGATGAGCAACGTAACCCACTGAGCCATCCAGCTACCACCAACATTGCCTAAGATTGTTAAATTGACTTCACCTTCAGAACACAAACCAGCCTTTCCAAATCAAAACTTCAACCCAATCTGCTGGGTCAAAATAACCCAACCTTGGGTAAAAGTAGCCCAATCTGCAAAGAATCCGACGAGTGGTTCGAGCATCTGCCTCACACAGAGATTGAAAGAAAGCAAGGGAGAGAGATAGATGGCAAGTGTAATCTGCGTGTGACTGAGAGCTGAGAAAGCCAAGGAGATGCAGTGCTTTGCACTGCTTCAGCTACAGTGAAAGTGCAGGCCCACAGAAAAAGCTACAGAATGTGATCCTCACAGAAACGCCTTTGTCTGAGTGTGTTTGTAAATGGCCATAAGACATAAGAACAAGCGTGTGTGTGTGTGTGTGTGTGTGTGTGTGTGTGTGTGTGTGTGTGTGTGTGTGTGTGTGTGTGTGTGTGCGCGTGCGTGCGCGTGCATACTTGGTTCTTTAGTCTGTTTATCACTGAGAGGTGAGGATAAGAATGAGATGCAATGTTGCACAGGTTTTCACAAAGACAGCAAGAGCTGTGTGCGTGTGTGTGTGTGTGTGTGTGTGTGTGTGTGTGTGTGTGTGTGTGTGTCTATCACCATGAAGGTTAAATATGCATGGAACCGGGAGGTGAGGTAAACAAGATGAAGTGTTTTGCTCCCTTTGATGTGCGGGGCCTGCAAAAGAAGTACAAATCAGTGGCTTTTTACGCGTGTGCATGCATGTGTGCGTGTGTGTGTGTGTGTGTGTGTGTGTGTGTGTGTGTGTGTGTGTGTGTGTGTGTGTGAACACATTACACACAACATTCCACAAAATGCACCAGTGTTTGCAAACGTGTGTATCCTTCTGAATATGTACTGGTATATATTTTAGGGGCACCAAATAAGACCCTGATCAGTAGCGCCCCCTGGTAAGTTTGAAAAAAAAAAATGTACCAGTTTCATCGATCTAAACAAATTTAAGCGGGCGTGTCTATCGTAACAGGACACAAGAAAATGTCCCATGCCTGAAAACGGCTCAGTAGTCATCTACATGTACAATGGTTGGAATCAGCTACTATGAACGAATTCTAGTCGTCATCCATCCATTTTCTGAACCACTTAGATTAGATATCCTTTATTTGTCCCACACTGGGGAAATTTACTTCACTTCTCCTGTACTTTGACAAACTCTGATGAAGGAAATCACCTGAATGAGCTCCAATCGGAAACAGGGATCGTAGAAAGCTTATTGGCCATCTAACACAGATGGAGCTTTGAATCATCCAAAAAATACATCGCTGTAGGTTTGAAAAAAAAAAATGCCCCTGACATCAGTTATCTTGACAGACATGGAATTTGGTGCATTTGTCTACAATAACTCAACTCAACTGTATTTATAGAGCACTTTAAAACAACCATCGCTGTATACAAAGTGCTGTACATGGAGCAAATATATACTGTACACAAAAATTTTAAAAATAAATGAATAACGAAGACAGTAGAAAGCACAAAACAGTAAAACTAAGATCAAGTCTGAGTCATGCCGAGTCAAATGCCAAAGAATACAAATAACAGGATCAACGAGAAAATCTCGAGGACCCATTGTCAGAAAGGAACAGGAACGCCGAGATTTTGGAATAAACTAGCCATCTTTGTCGAATTCCAGGGCTGGTAGTTTGACAAACAAACATAACATTCAAACCAAATGAGGCCCAATTGGAAGAAGGTATCGTAAACAGATGGATGCTTAATTTCCAAGCATATTTGCCGACGGCAACTACGGAGGGCAGATCTTGACGTCTCCTGAACACCGGTTTTCCCGATCAACACGGAATTGGGTGGATTGTTGGTGCTTTGCGGTGAAAGTGTCGGGACCAGACAACAGGTTTCAAAACATGGACTTCACAATGACATAAAGGCGTGTTTGTATGTACGAAATCCAAGCATGGCACCTGAATAAGCATGCGAGAAGGAGGATGCGATGTTTTTCAATCATTTGACGAGAGAAAATGGATGAGGATTAAAAGGCGCCAAGAACACGCGTGCCTGTCATGTCTTAGCCTCTGCTGCTCAGCCACGCTACCACTAATGCGTGTCAGCATTTTATTGAAATGAGATGAAGGTTTTGGGGTCTTTTTTTGTGGTTTCAATTTGAGAACTCACCCGATTATCGCTCCGCTCCGGGTGCCTCGGCACGAGGCTTTACTTGAAAGCAGCCTGCGTCTGAGGGAAGAAAGAGGAGGTCACAGTTTAGCGTACGTGGCGCAAATACCATCGGCATGAACACTTTTAATAGAGTCGCCAATCGTGTAGTTTACAGCAACGTGATGGGCCGCGACTACGGATTTATAGTTATTATTGTGACAGTATCAAATAAAGTAAGGAACAGTCATTATTTTACGTGACGGCCACTTTTGTAGACGATTGCCAGCTTTATGGTGACATGGAAAGCAGAGACAACATAGTTATTTTTAGCGACCTTCTTTAAACGTGAATATTTTTCTTCTTTGTGTAATAATATGCACTTGAATTATGGACTGACTGGTCGGGGCAACTGGGGGCACTGATTTGATTTGTCCCTTTTTCCATTTCGACGGTCAAAGTGACATGCTGTCATGATCCTGTCTTGTTTGTGTTTCAGCCTCTGGCAGGACTGGAGGGGGTTCCCTCCAGAGCCGAACCTGTCATGAATTTCCTTGTTACCATCTGCCTTGAAAAGACTGCCACTTCATCTACTGGCAGACGGTTTTTGCATGAAGGGAAAAAAAAAAAACCACTACCGGATTTTCCGCACTAAAAGGTGCACCTAAAAGCCTTCCATTTTCTTAAAAGCTCACAGCATGCCTTAAAATCCGATGCGCCTTGTGTATGGTTATTAAGGTAATATGTCGACCCCAAAATGGCTCCTTGCTAGAGACATGCTTACATCGAAGAGTTCAAACTTAAGGCGATCGGGTTACGCAGTTGAACACGGAACTAGAGCAGTGGCAAGAGATTTCAACGTTAACGAGTCAATGTTATAACTTGCTGGTGGTTAAGTGAACTGTGTCGCTGCTTTATTAAATAAGTTTGATTGACATTTGATCGTTCTGCAGCAACGCCACTCAACAGCTAAGCTCTCTTAGCTGTTGTCGTTTGTTCAAAGCTTCTTTGATCTGTGAAGTGGGTTGCGTCGGCGCTGATTGGCTGAACCACATGCGTACGTGCTCGCGCTCACGCGCGCACAGCAGAGAGGAGCGGACTATGGATTGCTGAGGCGCGCTTCACTCGAGTGGCGGCATTTCCTTGATTGTAGCGCCATCTAGTGGATGCATTGTAGATTGCGTCTTATAGCGCGGGGCGTCCAATATATGAAAAAAATTTACAAAATAGGCTATTCATTGAAGGTGTGCCTCATAATCCAGTACGCCTTTTAGTGCGGAAAATACGGTATATACAGCATCGCAGGTTTCACAGGTCGGTGAAACGGTAACCGGGCTTCCATGTAGAATTTCTTGTCATTCCAATTAAAGATCACACGTTACGTGATGTATTCCGATGTGGCACTACATTTCATCAGAGCAGCGATTTTACCGACATGGCATCGGCGTCAAATTCAAAGGGACTCCAGAGGATCCACTTCTACTAGCCAGGTATCAAGTCGTCTGTGTTCACTCTCACAACTCAACTCAACACAACTGTATTTATAGAGCACTTTCAAACAGCCATCGCTGCATACAAAGTGCTGTACATGGAGCAACTATTATACATACAACAATAAAGCAATAAATCAGAAACAACGACTGTAGAAAGCACCAAACAGTAAAACTAAGATCAAGTCTGAATCATGCTGTGTCAAATGCCAAAGAATACAAGTGAGTTTTGAGGCAAACTACATTCTAACTGCGTCTAGAAAAATCGCAAAAAAAAAAAAAAAAAAAAAAAAAAAACTACAACCTTGCACACAGGTGTGCCGGACAAATAAAAAACAAACCTCTTCCTTGATCAAACATGCAAGTTTTTGGTATATGTTCGAAAGCTAAGGTATCTCTTGACGTTGAAGCAAGCACGCGAATGAAAGAGCTACATCACTGTGCGTGCATTGTTCTTTTTTTTTGAACATTTTGCATACATTGTTTGGTTTATTTCAGATTTGTACATTGCAGAATTTATAGTTTTTGTCCATATACAGAACCGGGTGTGAGGTGAATAGTGCTTCACAAAATTTTGGTGGACCCTGAAAGTCTTTCTCCATTGTGAGACAAATAAACGTTATCTTATCTTAAACCCCTAATGTCTCAGATAAGATGAATGATTAAGAAAGACTAAGGGGTTCTCTTTGTGTATATTTAGGTCAGTTTGCTTCTGCATAAATACAAAAAAAAAAGTTATTTGAGGTAAATTCAATGTGTGGAAATGTGAAGGGGGGGCACGAGACAAAACGCTGTCTGTTATTCTCTGGGGGGACTAACTCAACTCTGTGGCCTACTTTGCAACACTTTTTGGCGCAAATAAAAATCAGCAAAGTTGATAGAAGTGGCTCACTTCAGTGATTTGTGCTCATCTACCGGCTGGAGAGCGCATATATTTACTCACGGCGCCTTTACCTGAATGAGATATTTTGGAGTTATTGTGCAGCTGAGTCACAATCGCATTAAAGCACGTCATGCATCTTATTTAAGCTTCTCTTCCACTCTCTGTACAGACAAATGTGTTCCATTTAAAGTCCAAGTATTTTTTTTCATGATGCTCCATTAAAAGATATATACTGATGTATCATAGTTAAGTTGATGCAGATGACAGGAAGAATGCGTATATTCCTCCTTGCGGAATAAGAAAAGCTGTCATTTTTGTTCTATTGAGTCCAATTACAAACATAGCAGCCTTAAGAAATGGCTTCACGGCTCCTTGAAATTCACTGTTTTTGTCCAATAAAGAAAGTCAAACTGGGGCTGTAAACAAGTTTTTCTCTCTCTCTCTCTCTCTCTCTCTCTCTCTCTCTCTCTATTCAAGATGAAGTTTAACACCTTCATTCAGCATGCCTCGCCATAAGCAACCAATCGCCACCTCCTTCTTCACCCTCCGACTATAGGTGTGAGCTGAGGATGACAATTTCACGCATCGATCCTATGTTCTCTGAGGCAAGCCACGCGAAAGGGAATTGATTAATACACATCCACACAGGGAGACTGTGAAGATCACCAGAGCTACTTGGCTGTAATCTTCCAGAGTGTGACTGCATGCTAACTGCTCCCGCGTCCGCTCATCAAACGCCCACGCGCGCACATCAAACACGGGTCGTCGTGCACACGCGACGACACGTGATTCCGCAAGGGCCTCGGTGGAATGGTGACTCTTCCATTTAATCATCATGCCTTTCTCCCTTGCTCAGAAAGTACTCATTTGAAGCTCCTTGATCTGCGTGTGCAGTCACAGACGACACTTTAATACATAAAAGTGCTAAAACATTACCCCGAAACTACATTCGTGTAATATAAATAATATTACTACCGTATTGGCCCGAATATAAGACGGTGTTTTTTGCATTGAAATAAGACTGAAAAAGTGGGGGTCGTCTTATATTCGGGGTCTTGACATTATACCCATTCACAACGCTAGATGGCGCCAGATATCAATGAAGCGAATGCTGAACTTGACTCCCCAGGCCAAAGTGACCCCCTGCCACGAAAAATAAAAATGAAAATAGCGTTAGCACGAAGAAGAAAAATAAAAAATAGCGGTAAGAAGGAAAAGAGAAGAAAATAATAGAAGAGATAACAGAAAATGGAGAAACGTAGTGACAATCTGGAGAAAAGCGGGTCGAAGATCAGCCAGGTTAACCGCCAGCTGAGGAGAAGTTATGATGTAATTTATATTTCAAAAACCAGAAGCCATTCATTTACGAATGTGATTGCACTTTAGATTTGAATGAGGCAAAATAACATGCTTTTTCTCTCAAATATATTGTGCTAATCATTTGTTTCGGATGTAGTGTAATTATTTTCTGTATAAAAATTAATTTGGTGTTCAAAAAAATCTTTTTTCAAACTTGAGTCTTGAAAAAGGGGGTCGTCTTATAATCAGGGCCGTCTTATATTCGGGCCCGGGCCAATACGGTAATTATAAAAAAAAAAAAACAGTAATGTATCAATAAGCAATAAAATGTAATGATTGCCACTATGCTCTATTAATAGCAAAAAAAAAAAAAAAAAAAATCATGCACTATGATGAACATGACACAATCAGATTCTGTAGTAGTGGATTAGTTTCAGATGCAGGTTCATGTCCGGGCAGACTTAGGTCACCTATCAAGATTATATTGTCCCACCCATGGCCTGTCCACCCAACAGAAGAGTGATGACATGATTGATGACTCATGAAAACCTCCCCAACCGCGGCTGTCAGGGTAGCTGTTTGCTTTGTGTGCATTGCCGCGCTTCTCATCCGCAGCCTCCATCAAGGACAAACAGCACATTTGTCCGGCGCTTCACAGCAGTGGACCGGCACTTGGAGGGCCCTGAGCTTTTTCCATGAGGTCTCTCGGCGCGGCGACGAAAAGCAACGTTCTGCGTGTGAGCATTAAACAGACCGTCTGTATTTATCATTCAACACGAGGTCTGGGAGGCCTAAAAACATTGCCACTCCTGAGTGGAAAACACCCTCGAGAAGTGTCAGGCAAAGTGGGAAACAACCTTCTGCAGCTAGTTAGTTCAGCAAAGTACACCAAAGGATGAATTACTGAACTGGGTACAGCCTTTTGCTGAACTGTTTATCCCACTATTGATGTAAAAATAAAAATAAAAAATACATCTGTCAGAAATGAACATTTAAGCCAATGTCAGAGTGACTACACAAATATAGCCTGAGTTTGAGCCGACTGACGTGTCGCAGCTAATCGTCGTGTCTCCGAGAGGATGTTGAGGTGTCTCATACCTGTCAACATCAGCTAATACCTGCCCTTATAAATGATTACGATTCCCCTTACAAAGCAACTAAAACCCATACAACGGCTTAACGTGCATGTGCACATCATGCTTTATCAATCCGACCGTACGCAGCGATGAAAAAAAATATACGATTGAGGATTACTTTTGCTGGTTTGCCGTGACAATAGTAGCGATCGACGACGGCATTGTCGTTGGCTACCAGCAGGTGAGACGATATGGATTTGTGCCAAAATGGTCTTTGTGAGATCGGTTCACAATTGTTTTTTTTTTGTTGTTTTTTTCCCCCGTATAAAAGTT